CACACACACACACACACACACACACACACACACACACACACACACACACACCAATGAGTCCACTAGGGGACATTTCTTGACTCCACCCAGACCTGTGAGAGATTGTTCGTAAAAGTACATCATAAGAAACGATATGCTTTCAACTTCCATTTCAAAAACATAATTTAAAACACGAGACCTCTGATTTGATGACCAACTCCAACAAGGGTAAGTGTCAAGCAGGTATAGAGCCTTGAGAATATTTCTCAAGCTGAGACCTAACGATGCCCTGTTGAGAATTCAAACGAAAGTCACTCGCACTGCGCGGCGTGTCATTGTCATGGAATGCCAGATCTGAAACAGATATCCACCATCATGGTCTGGCGTTCATATCTCTGATCACTGCTTTAAAAGAAACGACAAAAAAACCAAACCAACATATATTTTATAATGCTGGTTCTCTAGGTCAGTTGCTCTTGGACTACTCCTGCCTCGTTCGCTTTCTATTTGTGAGGCAGCGTGGTGGAATCAGGCTCTCGCAATTGTTTGAGCATGTAGAGTTATTGGCATCATCTTAAAGCTTGTCCACTTGTCTTTATTTGAATGAAAAATATACCCATTTATCTTGAATACAAGTCGAGATATTCGCAATTGAAGGAGGTGGGGGGTCACCTGTTTTCAGAGGTAAAATTAGTGAGAAAACGGCCACCAAACATTAGTTATTTCCTTATCTTAAGAGTAAGTGGTAACTGAAAATGTATATTTTGTGTGCCTTTAATCAACGTTTTTGTGACAAATCCACATAGAAATGAGTTCTTTAATGGACATGAAAGGTGTTGAGCCAAAAATAAAAATTTGATAAAAATTCACAAACCTGTGGAAAATGTAAATTTCTTTACTTTGATTATTTTGACGAGAGCCTGATTCCACCACGTTGCCTCACATTTTACTTTTACCATCAGTAAGTGCAAGATGCCAGATGTTTGTGGTGATTCAGGTGTACCAGAAACAGCATTTGCCTCTTCTTGTAGGCTTCTAAAAAGCAGTACCTCATTTGATTTCTTTTCCTATCACGAATGTCCCCCATGGAGACCACATTAATAATGTTGCCTCTCTTTTATTTTCACTATATTTGATAACTTTCCAGGACTGCACTGCAGTACAGCAAGAGACAAAAAAACTGGGAAAATAAATTGGGGGATTGGG